TAGTGAACAAACAGGTTTCTGGACCCTACCTTAAAACTGCTAATCAGAGTCTGCCTGTTTAATAAGTAAAAAATATAAAGTGATAGCTCACTGACCTTTGAGAACAGTTGCACGAGAGTGAATGGTTTCAATATAGAGAAGAGGATAGCAGTCATGTTCCAAAGGAAAGAAGAGGGGGATAAATGAGGAAGGTTTATACAATGCTACTGCAGAATACTCTTAATTAACTAAGGAATAGAGTAAAAAAGGGATTAAAATCAAGTGGTAATCTTCCAAACTTGGGTTAGCCTTCAGGAATTGTCTTTAAACATTTTTGCTCCACATACCCTCTACAAAAAAATTTTGAAACGTTATGTAGAGTCTGATACAATATGAAGCTCACATTGTTAATATTCCTTCATAATTTCAAAGTGATAAAAGATGCTGTTCCTGTCATATTTCTAAACATTAGTATTTCCAAATAAATTTTTAAATTACTTTTTCAATATATTCAATGGATTGTAAATACTCCAGTGATTTGATACCTTTATAATTCAATAATATGTGAAATCCTTTTCTTTAGGAACAGAAATTTCAAATAGTTCCTTTTCTCCTCAAATCCACATTTTCATTTCAGTTTCCTAAGATAATTATTTCCTAACATATTTTAATTGAAAATATTTTGTTGTTACCTTATATTTTTTGCAACAAAATACATACATAAATAAAATTTTAGTTTTTAAATTTTGTGACTCAATATAATTTTTTTCTTTTTTTGAGATGGAGTTTCACTCTTGTTACCCAGGCTGGAGTGCAATGGTGCAATCTCGGCTCACCGCAACCTCTGCCTCCTGGGTTCAGGCAATTCTCCTGCCTCAGCCTCCTGAGTAGCTGGGATTACAGGTATGTGCACCATGCCCAGCTAATCTTTTGTATTTTTAGTAGAGACGGGGTTTCACCATGTTGACCAGGATGGTCTCAATCTCTTGACCTCGTGATCCACCCGCCTCGGCCTCCCAAAGTGCTGGGATTACAGGCGTTAGTCACTGCACCCGGCCGACTCAATATAATTTTTATCAAGGAAGAATAAGAGAGAAGTCAGCATCAGTTAATTTATTTTGTTTGCTTTTACAGACGTGAGTGCTGAAAATATTTTTCACCTGAATAAGTTGCTATAAATGGAAGGAGTTTTATTACAGTGATGTTATTCCATACTTTGATTTCTTTCTGCAGAGGTGACTTCAGCCATGGGTCAACATTGATATATTTTTTACCTATTTCAAAAGTTTGTAGTGATTTTTTTTTTATGCAGTGATTTAGGACAGCCTTGTTTTAAAGCTGTGTGCTTAGCATACAACCTTTTAAAATTAGATGTTACTTTTCTTTTGACCATTTTAGTGCTGGATAATGTGTCTCATGCCACTTCAGCACATGAAAGGTTGTTGATCTGTAGCTTTTGATAAACAGATGTCTATGGCAATGTAATTTTTCTTTAGGTTGTATAATCAGATAATTATGGAAATGAAATAAAGTATTCTCAAGTAATTTTGAATAACGTTAACTATCATACTGTCCTAGTAGCTGACTAACTTGCTATGCAGGCTTTTGCTGAAACACAATATTGAGAGGGCTCATGGCTTTTACATTGCCCTAAATATTCAACTGATTTGTAGGCTTGTTCCTCCACCTGAATAATCAGTAATTATTTAGAAGGTATTTTAGCCCCATAATATTTCGCATTTTTCTTTTATTTTACAATCATGGCATTCATTGATAACGTAAACTTATATGATAATAATTGTGATGGTTAATACTGAGTGTCAACTTGATTGGATTGAAGGATGCAAAGTATTTAACATGGGTGTGACTGTGAGGATATTGCCAAAAGATATTTACATTTGAGACAGTGGGCTGGGGAAGGCAGACCCATCCTTAATCTGGTGGGCACAATCTAATCAGCAGCCAGGAAATATAAAGCAAGCAGAAAAACTTGAAAATGTGTGACTGGCCTAGCCTCCCAGCCTACATCTTTCTCCAATGCTGGATGCTTTCTGCCCTCAAACATCGGACTGAAAGTTCTTCAGTTTTGAGACTCTGACTGGCTCTCCTTGCTTCTCAAGCTTGCAGACAGGCTATTGTGGGACTGTGTGATCATGCAAGTTAATAATTAACTTCCTTTTACATATATATATATATGAATACAATATGAAGAATACAATTATAATTGGATATATATATATATCTCCAATAATTGGACATATATATATATCTCCAATAATTGGACATATATATATATATCTCCAATAATTGGACATATATATATATATATATCTCCAATAATTGGACATATATATATATATATCTCCAATAATTGGACATATATATATATATCTCCAATAATTGGACATATATATATATATATATCTCCAATAATTGGACATATATATATATATATATATATATATATATCTCCAATTAGTCTGTTCCTCTATGCGACTCTAATACAAGAATTTAACTTAGAATTTTTCATGAGTTAATTCTACATAGATTAAATATTACTAGGTGCAAAGTACATAATAAGGCAAAGGGAAGGAAATAATTAATAAGACATAGTTCCTATCCTTAAAGATATTTTCCTCATTTCTGTTTGAATATGCTTAAGTCTTTCTTTTGTAATCAGAAATGTAAAAGGAATCTTCATGTTTCATAAAAATACTATTGTGTTTATTTTTTCTCAAAGATCTATAAACTTTCTTAGTCATTCTGTGATTCTATGTTTAAGATCTGAAAATGATCATATTCAGCATACACTTAAAAAGCACATTCTTGGTGAATTTTTACAGAAAAATGTGCTATCAAAGTTTAGGTTCTGATAGATACTAGTTAATCTTCATCTTATGGTAAGAAGAACACAGGCAAATCTCCAATTATATCTAAATCATAACAAGCTCAAAGAACATGTAAGAAAAATAAGGTTATAGACTCCTGATATATGAAAATGTATTATTTAGAGTTATTTAGATGGATAATTTCATACTTCTTCTTGCTCGTACTACATGTATTTACACCTCTGTTACAACATTTTGTTTATTCTGCCTGGTATTTACAGTTTGTTTCCTCTACGGGTACACACACACACACACACACACACACACACAGAGAGAGAGAGAGAGAGAGAGAGAGAGAGAGAGAGAGAAAGGGAGAGACAGAGATTTATTATAAGGAATCGGTTGATATGATTATGCAGCCTGACAAGTCCCAAGATCTACAGTTGGCAAGCTGGAGATCGAAGAGAGCCAATGGTGTATTTCCAGCCCAAATGTTGGCAGACTTGAAATCCAGGAAGAAGCAATGTTTCAGTTCAAGTCTAAAGGCAGGAAGAAATCCCATGTTCCAGATAGAAGGCAGCAAGGCAAGAGTAATTCTGTCTTATTGGAGGGAAAGGTCAGCCTTCTGTTCTATTTAGCCCTTCAACTGATTAGATGAGCCCCACCAAATTAGAGAGGAGAATCTGCTTTACTCAGTCTATTAGTTTAAATGTTAAACTCATCCAGAAAAAAAAAAATGCCCTCATGGAAACATCCAGAATAGCCAAATATCTGGGTATCCCATAGCTCAGCAGGTTGATGTATAAATTAACCATCACACCTACAAAAACAAGAGGGGAAAGAGAGAGGTATAACTGAACTTTTAAAAAACCACAGATAAAATGCCTATCAAAACTTAGAGATTCATTTCATTCTCTCTTCAGTTGTTTTTAAATCCATTGCATCTCAGTGCTTTTGAAAACATAGAAATCTGTCTAGACTCTGTGTAATATATATGAAGAAATTGATATGCTAAAAAGTAAAGTGACTTGTCCAAGGTCACACAGCTCATTAACCATAAAGCCAAACTAAAAGGAAAATCTTCCAGCTTCAGTATTCTTTCTAGGCATACACTAGCATAATTTCCCCCTTATCACTTATATGCATGACTTGAGAACTGGATAAAGTACAAACCGCTTTTGAAAATGTCAATGGTAACTGCATTCTTGATACATGACTGTTGCATCTGTTGTAAACATGTACATCTGTACAAAGTAGTAATTCTTATTCAGATCTCAAAGTACTTTGGGCGCAGTTGTTACAGAGCAGTGTGATGATTTGGAGTTAATTCAAAACATACTCTGTTCATCCTCTCATAAGAGTTTTTGAACAAAGGAAATAAACCTTTCACACTGCCTGTGAAAGTAAAGGACATGATAAGAAGAAGGTGTATATCCAGGCATGAAGCCAGAATGCACTATTCATTTTCAAGCTGTGGTCACTGAGAGAAGACATCTCTTTAAACCTAACTAGCTTGGAAAAGCACTGCTTTCTTCCTCCATATGTAGCCTAAAAATATCATTTCTACATTCCCAAATGGTGTGTCTGTCTGTGTGTTCATGGGTAACCAATACTTTCTTATGTTTCTAAAATGTGTCAAGTTTTCAGGTAAATATTCATACAGAGACGTTTGTATTTTCAGATTAGTTTTGTAAAAAAATAATTACAAACCTGCATGAGGGTACTGATGACAGGATGCTTTCCCTTAATGAACCATTTTCAAAGTTTCCATAAAAGGAATCTCAAAATAGATTATAATGAATTCCTCTGTCGCATATTGTCATGGAACAAAGTGGCACATTTTTAGAAGTGGGCTACTGAGAAATGAATCTAGCAGGGGAGGCGTGAGTAGAAGGAATCTAGAAGGAAATAAGTTTAGACACTTCGCTTTTGCTCACTTGCCTGGGTTTAAGCCGCAGCTACTCTACTTTGATGCTGAAGAAGCAGGGCTAGGTATCTGCAAGTCCAAGCAGGAGGGCTGCAAGCCTGCAAATCTAACAGCTGGAGAGTGTTGTGGTAGCTGCTTTCCTGTGGTAAGCTGATTTACTTGTTTAAGGTCTGACCTCATCATCCTGTCAGCATGGGTTCCCACCTACTAGCTGCAGCCTTCTCCTTCTGCTAGAAGGCTACAAGTATTCACAGTGTATCATAGGCAGTGGGGGAGGGGAGAGAAAGCAAGAAAGACTGCTCTCGGCACTTGTGCTTTTGTTAGTTCCACAGAAGAGGCAGAAAAACAAGAGATAACAAAGGCTCCGTTTCCTTTCTGTGAGAGAAGGCTTTTGTCTTTCCTCCTGCTACAATGTCAGCGTCTGGCAAGAAAGAGTTTGATGTGAAACAGATCCTAAGGCTACGCTGGAGGTGGTTTAGTCATCCTTTTCAAGGTTCCACCAACGCTGGAAGCTGTCTTCAGCCGGAAGGATATGAGCATAGAGGGACCCCAGTTCAGGGCAGGTTGAAGAGCCACTCTCGGGACAGAAACGGACTGAAGAAAAGCAACAGTCCTGTCCACCACAATATACTGGCACCAGTGCCAGGACCGGCCCCTGTCCATCAGAGAGCCGTTCAGAATTTGCACCAACATAACCTGATAGTACATTTTCAAGCAAATGAAGATACTCCTAAGGCAGTTCCAGAAAATAATTTATTCGAAGAAGCTTGTGGGAAACGTTCACAAGATTTGGAGATGATAGCCGATGACAATATAGAAGATTCTACAACAAGGTAAGAGTTTTTGGTGACATAACTGAAAGCCGTAACTTAAGTTAACTTATCCTCTACAATTCTTGTTTAGTGTTTAAATAGAAAATGTCATAATAATCTTTGAGTTTGTATTCAGCCAATCAGCATCTCTCAGAAACCGTTTCCTCTAAGTTTATAAAAGAAAACAGCAATAACGCATATGTCCTTATAATTCATGGAAATTTGAGGGCTGGATTATTAGTTTACTTCTCCTATTTTCATTAAGTATTCTGTTTCAGTTCTAAGAGATGTTTGTTTTAATTACTAATGTTCTATAAATACCCACCGTGGCTCTGATGTTTAAATGCAATTCTTTGTGCAAGTGTTATGAATCACAGAGAACTCTTTCTGACACTGTGAGTTAGGCCAACTTTGACAAAAGCGAAGCTGTGAATGATCAGCACATCCTTGTTATCTGTTTCCTTAGTACATAGATGCTGTATTGACTCTTAAAACTCTGTTATCTTTATGTGACAATATGGAACATTCGACATTCGGAGATTCATTTCAAGTTGTTTTACTTTCTTAGCTAGTTTCTGCAAGCATGAAAATATTCTTCATAAAGCAGGTAATCAGATGCTGCTTATGGCAATGTGATCTTAAAGCAGGAAATGGAACATTTCAGCTTTTGCATAAAATGAAAATTAAATAATATACTGTAGTTTGGGTATAGTTCATAAAACATTTGTTATCTTTACTTTTCTGTCCACCAGTCATTGTTTTCGTGCAAGAAAATTATGTTCTGCCCTCTAATACTGTCTACTATAACTTAACCTAGTGGAGCCTTATCTCTTTGATTTTTGCTTTTTCACTATCAGATATTTTATAGTCCCAGCCTGTTTTAGACACAGTTGATAATATTGGCAATGTAATTAATTTGTAGTAGTGCTATAGAAAAAGAAGGGTTTTTATGCATTTTAGAGCATACAGTAGTTCAACATGCTAATTTATTTAGAAACCTGGATACTGGGCATACTTTGTCCCTCCATAAAAATAGAGAAAAAGGACTGGCAGATTTGCTTCTTAATATAAGTTTTCCCATTATAACAACCTCACAGTGTCTTGCTTTCATAAATTCAAAGCAGAATATCAAAAGAAGAGGCAGTCTACCAACATTACGTTAAAATGGTGCCTTTATAGGAACTCAGTGTTGTTGAAATATAAACATGCAGAAGACTTTGTGAAATGACATTAATAATAAAGTTAGATTGCCTGCCATATAAATTTCTCAGGAAATAAAGCATGTATCTGTGCAATTTTCCTAAATACTTTGTGCTTGCCTGTGGAAAAACTATATAACTGTTGGGATTGCAAGTTGCATTTGGCACAACAAATAAGACCCTCAAGGTAATACAGAGTCCTTAATTTTAAATTCAGCAGGCTTTCAAATTTGCTCTCCTCACCAAGAACAATTTTTGAAAACTGCTGAATTTGGAGTTTAATAAATGAATTTAATTCTGCTGTAGAGAAATTTAAATTACCCACGGTGACCTTGGAACAAAATTATTTGAGAATGCATGAATTAATTTTCTAGTATGGGAATATTTACAATAAAATAGATGTTAGAAAAAATGTTAGATAAAATGTCAAATTTAAAGCATCATCAAGTGAGTTTAAAAAGTGCATTTATCTTTTGATTTTATTCCTGACATTTTTTATTTTCTAAAGAAATGCCTTGTTAATTATTCTATGGTTTCAGTGGAAAGTCAATATTTTCTTAATATAAATACAGGAAATGGTTTTATAGGTCTGTCAAGGATATCTTAGGCAGGAGGGGGTTAAATTGAGGATATTATTAATTGGAATATGATGGTTTATTGCCTTCTCATTACCCATTTTAAATCTTCCTGTCTTGGCCCAGCATCATTTGAGAAGGAACTTTCTGATTCCTTGCTTCTTCAATGCCTCTCTTCTTCAGCAATATTGGGGAGCAGGAAGAAAAAATCCTGACAAGTTGGCAGCAGGCTGCCATCCCCTTGGTATAACTCCAGTGGTGTTTTTAAAAAGAAAACAGTAGTGAGTGTGGAGAATTATCATACTAGTACAAGATAAGCTTTGTCGCTCAGAGCACAGTAAGGGTCTTTAAGCCATCCTGCTTTCTACAAATATTATGGGGAATAAATAGCAAATGGACTAAATTGCAAACGTGCAATGTAACGGAGTAAATCACAATTGTCCTGAAAAGGATTATAAAGCCAACGTTCTTAAAGTTATATTAACATGCTGGTTTGGAAATTTAAAAATCCGTATATATTCATATACAACTGAATTGTAAGTACATAGAGCATTTAGGAACAGCTCTGTATCATGATCCCACACTGTGAGTATTCATATACCAGCATGCTGGTCATCAGAGACCTGTGCTCAATTACCATTTTACTTTTGTCCTAATTATCTGCATCTTTCCTTCCCCATAACTACCTTGCTCAGGTGTCTTTTCCTTATTTCGGCCATAGCATTCCAACAAAAAGAACACATATTTTAACATTGTATTATGATGATGCTTCCTATATGACAGAATATTTAATTATGAAATCATATATAGGTATTTGTGATTGTTCATGAACATATGATTGTGTAAGTATACAGATGGATGTCACAATGTTAACATTGTGAAAAATCATGCTTACTCCATTTGCTAAAAGAGATGTAGTGATTTCCTCTTTGTGTTCAAAGACATTGAATAAAATGCAAATGAACCATTTATGGGTCCAGAACATGCATGCCCCAGTACAAAATTGGACATTCATAGTGCTGTGTAATTCAAAGGTATTGTCAGGAATGGGGATCATGCCTTCATTTTACCTGTTGGGGCTTCAGGGTTTTGCAAAACCTACCAACTGTAGTGATATGTGACTTTAAACATTTTTGTCATCTGTGCACTGTTAGAAAATACTCAAAATTCTCTCTTTACTCAAGCCCTTTGCAAGTTTCAGGTGAGGCTTGCCTAGAAGAAAATATGAGCAGATGTTATTGTATATGTTGCTATCCCAAAGAAGGTAAGATTGGATGAATAAGACTTAGAATTTATTAATAATTTATTCCACGAAGATTGAACATTCACTGTGTGCCGGGCACTCTTCCAGATGTTAAGGATAAAACAGGATCGAAATAGGGAACCTGTTTTCATTGAATATACATTCTAATGGGAAGAGAAAGGTAATAAAAATAAACCCAATTACAATATATAGGTGGTTATAAGTAATATGAGAAAAAGATTAATTAGAAACAATAGAGTGAAGTAGAGGGTGCTCCTTCAGATAAAGAAGGCTTTTTGGATGAGGTAATATTTGAGTAGATATTTAAATCAAGTGAGAAAAGAAGACAGAATGTCTGACTCAAGAATTTGAAGCAAATGAGAGGTGACTGCTCTTGTGCCAAGGGAGTACTTAACCACCATATATGTTTTTTTTTTCTGTACAAATCAATGCTACATGTTCCCATAGTGTCCATTGATTAACGTTCAAAATATTCCTTAACCGGTGAACTAAAAATTACGTCTTGCCCTGTTATTAATTACACTGATTTTAGGATCACATGCATGGTCCATGGCCATAGAGGTGACTTTCCAGCCATCCTGTAACCATGTTGCTATTTTACCCTCTGGGAAAATGGCTATTCAGCCAGCATGGCGTGTGCCTTAAACAGAGACCTCTGCCCTTCATGATAAGAGACACATGATAGTGTATTTGTGGATTTGCCTTCTTAACAAAACTATTCAGATAGGGTCAAATGTATTGTAGATCTTCATCCTCAACACAAACGCATCTGTTATATGAAATCTGCTAGGGAAATATTCATGCATAAGAGAAATTCTGAGTCTGAAACAGTGAAACTTATTGTAAAATTATTTCCCATAAAGGAGAAAATGAGTTATGTGGGTATCTGCGGGGAGTGCTTTTGAGGAAAAAATCAATTTCATGGGGCCTGAGGTGGGAGGGAGTGTGGTTGATATATTCAAATACAAAAAGGCAAGTATATGTGGAGAAGCATGCTCAACAGAGGGAGTGGTAGGAAATGACTTTGGAAAGGTAACAGTAACAAAGCAATGCCAATACAACATTAAAAATAAGAAGTAGCTTTTGTTGATGGTTACTGTGTACTAAGCATGAAGCACTTTTCATGTATTTTCTCCTGATCGCAAGAAAAATCTTTGAGTGTGAAGATGGTGCTCACATCTACAGTTGGTATTTCTCCAGATATTTTATCAGTTAATCTTGTTATTGTTGCCTATCTTCTCACAAAGTAAAAATAGTGTGATTTTCCGAAGTTCACAACTAGGCCTGCTTCACTTAACTTTACACTGCATTATTCAGTAGAGACTTTTATGTCAAATGAAGAAATGAGAAATGAACTACAATTATATTGTTATTTCTAGAAAGGCTAAGGTTAAATCTTTTTGCCTATAGTTTAAGACACACCACACACAATTACATACGTTATTCAATTGCTTTACTAAATTTAGAACATTACGACAAAAAAATTTAAATTTTTTGCAATGATTCCTAACTTTTTATGAGATGAAACTTCTGCTGGTTGATTCCAAATCCTTGCTACTCATAGCTTCATACCGAGAGGGAGGTACCATGGTCCTCATGCCTCATTCCTGACAGTGATATGATATCACCTATATAATTTGTGTTTTTTTTTTTTTTTTTTTTTTTTTTGAGAAGGAGTTTCATTCTTGTCACCCAGGCTGGAGTGCAATGGCACCATCTTGGCTCACTGCAACCTCTGCCTTCTGGGTTCAAGTGATTCTCCTGCCTCAGCCTCCCGAGTAGCTGGAATTACAGGCATGTGCCACCATACTAGGCTAATTTTGTATTTTTAGTAGAGACGTGGTTTCTCCATGTTGATCAGGCTGGTCTCAAACTCCCAACCTCTGGTGATCCGCCCACCTATATCACATATATAATTAAGTTAACAATCATTAAAATATATTTTATATTTTAAAATTTGAGGACTTTCATTTAAGGATCTGG